AGATTCAAAATTGTTTCTTATTGAAACGATTATAAAAGTGTAAAAAGAAAAATTTGAGAAGTAAAATAATCACGTTAGTCAGTAAGCTCGTCGTTAAATTATTAAATGCGGAAAAGTGAAATTATTTGGTTTTATTATCAGGAAAGTACAAAACTTTGGTAATGAGTGAACAAATTTTGAACAGAGTATGAAACAGAATAAGTAGATGGAAATAATGGTAAAGTGAAACAGTGCAAATTTGGATCACATTTAGCTTAGATATCGCTGCAGCTTTGAAACTTTATTATACACTTTTATTATACAAACTTTATTATACATTTTTTATGGTCATCGACAGCGGCAACAGCAACAAACTGTTGTTTTAAATTTTTTATCAACTCTGAATTTTTCTGTCGTTACATGTTGTCATTTTCTTTCTCGTTCCATGCTCCGCAATTTTAGAAATGTACTGCTGTTGGAAGATTAAAAAACACAAGTCCAAAGGGGGTGAAAAAACGATAAAGCAGGAGAGGAGAGAGGAAAAAAAGCTAGATTTTTTAAATATAATTATCAAACTTCCTTTTTTTACTTGGATTTGATTCCCAAAATAAGAGTCCCAAAGCAGATATGAATTATAAAATTTAGGAGTAACTTCTGTACTAAATTAGAATAAACAGGTACTCATTGTCTTCCTTGCCTCCTGTATCAGTTTTTTACGTCAAGTTACTTTTTTCTCATTTACCGATTATTGCCACCCAAGAAACTCTAGGCTTGGCTGAATAATCAACATTTTTGGGTTGAGAGTGAAAGGATATCAAAATTTAACGCTACACAAAAGTTGAAAATCATTGTTGATCGAACTACAATATTGATAGCAGGAACAACATTAATAGCGACGAGAACAGCCGTAGTACACGTTAAAAGAGGTAACCTGTCAAACAAGAAATATTTCTGAATTATTCACACTTTTGATTCTAAATCTATTATTATCTTTTTAAAAAGTGCTATTTAAGACATTTTATATGACGTTTTATATTAAAAAAGAATTATTGGATAGTCAAGACCTCTTTGTTTTTCTTCAACCGTATCTTGACAAGCGCTATTTTCTTTGTCTTCGCCATTGATTTTGTCATCGTTTTAATCGCTGTCATCGCTGTTTTCATAGTATATAATCCTAAAAAATTCCCAGTTTTTGAGCACCGATCATTGGAAAGTCTTTAATTTCAGTTTGAGGTCTTCACAACACATAAGCACAGCGTTTACCAAAAGCCAATGAACATTTTTTAAACGGCTGTAACAACAGTGGAAAATTCATCATAACTGAAAAGGCGATTTATGCGAAGGATTATGGCTTTCTACATTTCCTTCATTTTTATTCAAGTAGGTGGCATGCATGTATTTTTCAAGAAACAAAAAGAAGAACAGAAAGTTATTATTGTTATTATCATTGTTATCATTATTATAGCAAGTATTGGTATTGGTAACATTAGTATCACTAAATAAAAACTTTTGTATTAGTTTACTAAAGCGATAAGATTCCAGAAATATTTGTTAAAAAATATTGCCGAACGCTTTCTAACTGCATAGTAAACAAATGAATTCAGTTGTTGAAGAAGCGACAACAACGAGGACAGCCTGATAAAAAATAGTAAATTAAAAAAAACATAATACGATTTTCTGAGCAGACGATTTTTTGTTTGTGGTTTGAAAGCTGTTTTTGATAAAAACCGCGTTAAAAGCAAAAGTTAATTATAAGTGAAAATCAACATATTTTCTAGCTCTTTTTTTGGAGTTTGAGAGCAAAATGAATAATAACTTTGGGATGATAGAATTAAGCTGATTATTGCTTGCTTCTGTGATATTGTTGTTTGGAATCTGAGCATAGCAAAGGCTTTAATTCATAAAAATACACGTTTTTCTTGCAAATCCAGTCCAGCGATCAACGTGAACTCGACACCACTTTCAGAAAACGAAAAAAAAAAGAAGAGAATTATTCATGAATGCTATGACTGCTTCTGTTTCTTCAACGATAACAAAGGATTATCAAAACAGTATATGATAGAAAATGAAGAAGCGAATGAATGAGCTGTGAAGGTTATTAACTCCGTGTTTGCTAAACAATTGCTTTGTCAGCCTCAACTTTTTTTATAGGCTAAAAGAGTCTGCTAATTTTGCAGTGAAAAATTTGCAAGAAGCATTGAAAGTTAGGTAACTTCACAGCATTTTTTATTTCAGCGTAATACCGAAGGTTCAGAACTAATCTGCAAAATTAAAATGTTTGCTCCAGATTTTATCGCTGAAGTGGAGGGAAAAAATCCCACGCTAGTCGCTTGCTGTTTCCGCATCCTTCTTCAGTTTTGAAGTTCTTGGAGAATTTAATCAATATTTGGAAGTTGTCTGCTAGTTGAAAAGATGAAACTGATAGGTTATTAGTTGTTTTCGTCGGTCCCCTATCTGACTCAGACAAGCAAAAAAAGTTTTTGAAAAAAACCTTCACTTAAAAACCTAATCCACTAAAAGACAACAATTTTTGATCGAAGATTTTACAAAAAAAAAAAAAAGAAAAGAATTATCAGAAATAGGAGCTGAATGATTTGAAAGAGAAGAAACGTTCGAAAATAAAATTGTCAACTAGCTGATACATTTAAAAAATTTCTTGGGTGCTTAAGCATTTTTTAGGTTCAAGTGTATAAATTCCTCCTCTACTTAATTGTCAATTCCATCTCTTTTATTTTGAAAATTATTATTTGAAAAGTATATTTAGCTTTATCGCGTGCTGTTTAAATTGCTACAGACAAAGTTAGTTGCCAATAAAACGGTCAGGCAAAACAAACGTTGATATATGGTTAACAGCAAGTAAATTCCTCTTAACAAGTACTTTAACAAGTCATGCAGACGTTTGTTCCCGTTAATACATTTTTGTTTTTTATTTAAATCTTCTGTTCTTCAGGCGATATCTATATCAAATCTGAAAAAAGTTTTTTATTTCAAACCGTTTACTCTGAAAAGAACAGAAATATGATAAATAAAATTAAAAAGCTAACAGCAGCTAAATTTACTATTTTAACACATTGAAAAATTACCGTTATCAGCGCTCACGGCAAAGATGACGTCATTTTTAGTTTTTTTAGTTTATTCAACTCGAACTTGTTTCAAAGATGCTTGATCAAGGAAGTGTTAATGAAAAGTAGTTTTGTTATCAAACTTTGACTTTAACTTGAAAAGTTGTTTTTACTTTTGAACCTTTTTTGAACTACTCCTTTTTTTGTCTTTTTCTTGACAAACTTTTTTAAAAAACCGTTCTTTACTTATAAAGAATCATTTACTAAAATTAGTCGCTACATCTAAAAAGAACTAGTAAGTGAGCTGCAGCACAGTTTTCGAGCTGCTGTTCAAAAAATGATAACATTGTTTTGATGTCATCATTGGTGACCAGAAATGCTCCTGTTGCAGACCGCGTGATAAATGCATTCAAAATTAGGAACTAAGTTAAAATTTTCATTTTAAACTCAATATTTTTCTAGGTTTACGTACTTTTTAAATTGAATAAACTTGGAAGCTAAAAAACCGAATGTCTTAAGCACAACTAAATTCCTCAACATTTATTTACTTAAAGGCAGAAAACTGACGCCGTTAACTTTGTGGCTTTTCAAAACATGTGTTTCACACTAATATTATAAAAGACGCGCTCCTCAAATAGGACCGGCCGACAATGACGAAGCAGATGGCTTTCTTCACAGCTAGCTTCAAAGACCTAAAAATTTTGCAAAAATTTTTTTGGCTTCTAAATTATATAAATCACTAAGATATTAACACTTACCAGCTACAAGAAAACACAAATGAATATATGACTAAACGTAGCAGAATAAAAATTAGAAGGTTTTACGATAAAACGTTACCAGAGCAATAAATATTTTAAAGATAATCCCAAAGTACAAGTTTTCTAATTGCTGAACAGTAATGAAAATATTAAATCTAGCTAACGTTCTCAGCATATGAAATCTAGGTGCAAAAAGAAGACTAATATGACGAAGAAAAACGCTATAAAATTTGTTTTTCAAATGCAATGAAGAGTTCTTCATTCCACTGCGTCAATTAATGTTGGTGACATTGACGAGCTTATTTTTTATTGTTTTTGTAAACTAAACTTGACACTCACGAATGACACGCAATTGGCAATAAAACAGACTTGTTGGAGCATAGGTGAACAACAGATGGGTAAAGCAAAAATTTTTAAGTTATTACACTAGTTTAACTTAGCTGAGGGTTGGTAAAACGGTAATGTAAAAAGAAATAACGCGAGAGGAAAGGAAATCTTGAATGATTTCGTCTGCATTAATACTGCTTCTTACTTAATTGTCGGCATAAGATGGATTCACAAACGCTAATGAACATTGTGAAATTCAGTGCTGTTATGTGTCACATCAAACCCTAATGAAGCATAATGCTAACTTCAAAATAGAGTTTGTTAAAACGTCAGTCTATATCTGGTTGCCGCTAATTTGTATGCCACATTTGTTGGTTTCTTTTGTGACATACCAAAGAAAATACTTCATTTAAAAAACACATTTTTTTTGACGCGCAACGAAGTTATTCGATATTCGAAAGTAATGATGATTATAACAAAAGATATAACTCACACAGCTCTGCCTACTTCTCGTTTTCGGAAAGGTAGCAGTAAAAGTACCAAAACATAACAGCGATACAGAACAACACAAAATACCTTTGGGCATAATGCGTCATTGATACACAGCCAGCCTCTCACCGTATTTGTATTTGTTCATTAATGTTCATATAGTGAGTACTGTTTGAGAAAAGAAATCATTGCGTTTAAGCAACTGGAACAATACTACGTATAACTGTTAAAACTGATTATTAAAAAATTTACTGCTATTTGAAAATTGTGATTAAACAAGTAAGCAGCCTGCAATGAAGCGAGTATCGCAAGAATTATACAAATTTCCTGACTTTTTTTATAGAAAGCTAATGAAGACTTCTTTTAAGATTATCTTTGGTCTAATATGACTTCTCGTTTGCAAGTCTGTTTCGCAAAATCGCTTCGCTGCTACGTATTTTGCAAAGCACTTTGTAGTCATCATCCGCACGATGCGGCTGCACTACTGCTGGACAGTTTTGGCTGTCGTTCTGTACACTTCAAAAATATTGGAAGGTGAGGTCACTTCTGGTGTAACGGTTAGGAGGGGAAGGAGCAGGAGGAAGGAGAAAAGGTCTCTTTAAATATGATGGTGTTTTGGATTTCCAAGAGTCTTTTAAGGCTGCTTGAGAGGAACCTTCAATGTCATAACCGAAATAAGGCAGTGTTTCAGGTGGTGTTTGCAATACCAGTGAACGTTACAGTGGTCACGGCTTCTGCTATAGTTATGTATGTAGGTTTTGACGTTTTCAAAGCATATTGGGTGTTTTCAACTTTAAAACTTACTCCTTACCGACATTTTATTATGTGAAAAAAAAAACATCTCTCATTGATTGTGTACAGCACGTATTGCGTAATATTTTTAGTATGAAAAACTTCAAAATTATTCCGAGTGTCGCTCTACTTGTAAAAGCATTGGTGCAGTTCCGCTGGTCCCGTTTGATGAACCTTCGCTTAGTGCGTTTGGCACTTGTGAGTTCTTCCTCCTGAGCAGTTTTTTGGTTTGTAGACGTTTCTTGCTACCGGAACATGATTTAGAGAAAAGCTTAATGAACTTTTGATTTCTCAGCATTTAGGAAGGCATCTTTTGAAAATAAAACAGTTTCTTAAGTTGGCTTTCCATTTTTTTACCAGCTTTTTCTGCAATGCCAACGGGTGGTCCTGATATTTTACCCTGGTAACTTTCCAGTTGGTTACGAAGAGGAAATTTTCTGGGTAGGTGTTTCCGCAGAGCGTTGTCACTGGCAGTGGGACAATGGGCCGTTTCTCTGTAACTATGATGGAAATTTCAGCAAGCACATAAATCAATGTGCAAGTTTTAGGGAGAATAAAATAACGGAAACACCATGTAACAGTACTTTGCGCTTCGTCTGCAAAAAGTCACGTGAGTTCTTATATGCTATCCTGTATTCAATATAGGTTAGTGGAAGAATACTTTTTATTTCTTATTAGCAATTGGGCACACTGATGAAGTAGAGCGCAGAAACGCTAACAGAGCTCTCCTAGCTAGGTATTTATGCAACATTAAGTCTGTTGGATTTTTCACTGGATTTGTTGAAATTTATTAAAGCTATTGAAAGTGCCGTACTACTAACTTCTGTCTTCCGAAATAAAGCTGGTAATATTACAGGGCTTTTGGACTTAGTATGTCCGGAAGGATGGAAATATTTCAACGGCGACTGCTACATTTTTGTCAGTTTTATTTTTTGAATATAGGTTTTTGGATAAGCTTCTTCAAGCTAGAATTTTTGAAGTATAATAAACTTTTCAGTATCCAGATAAAACCAACTATTACAATGCAAGGATGAAGTGCGATAACGGGAAGGGTTATTTAACTACTGCTGTTACAAAAATGGAACGCGAATACTTAGAAAGTAATTGCCAAAAGCGGAAGTAGCAGGTTGAGAGCAGCTCAAATTATTTAACAGCATTAGTTTATGTTTATTAAGATATTTCTGAAGGGAACGAAATTTGGTTGGGAATGCACGAATCAAAAAAGGTACTTTGGAAAGGAGAAGACGGTAATCTACTAGTCTATCATCTGGATGGTGCACGTTTCAAAGATGCTCAACAGTGTCTCATTGTGCAACAAAAACAGTATTTTAATTACAATTGCTCGGAGGAGGCAAAATGCATTTGTAGTAGATTAGGTTAGACGTTTACGTAACAAGAGAAGGGTTTTTCATTATTTACGTGATAGAACTTTTTAGTTTTTAAAATATTAACAAATAAAAAAGGTAATAAAAACAATAATTATAATAAGATTAATAGGAGTAGTAAATGGTTACGCTTAAAATTATGTTTATAGTAGTTACAGTCATAGGTATGGTCGTAGTCACAGTAATAATAACAAAAATAATGAAAGTAATAAGATTAGCAGTGATGATCGTAGTTCCACAAGTTACTGTAATAGTAATGCAAGTAGCAATAGGAATAATAATTATTTTAAGCACTATTATAATCACAATAGCAGTATAATGACGGCAACCGCAGTTCTTATTGACTAGGTCAGTGACAGCAATAATTTGAAACGCTAAGTGCAAAAGTTATTCAAGATCAGCACTAAATAGGAAGAATGAGTCGTAAAAACAATTAATAATAACAATAATGATAAAAACAAAAAAAATAATAGGAATAATAGTAATAGTAGTAATAGTAAAAATAATAATAATAACAATCAGCAATATTAATGATGACGATGATGATCATGATGATGATGATGATCATGATAATAATAATAATAATAATAATAATAATAATAATA